CGCTGTTGAGGTTGCCAGTAAGTTGGCGAACCCATCGTACCCTGAGGCTAATAAACGATTATTATTTGCCCTATTTATGTTTAAAAAGAAGAAAAACAAAAGCTTTACCATGCAATTATTCGCTGAATCGGTGTATTCCCGTCCGTCTTTTGGCGGGGAAAACTCTTGACCGGCGAAGTCCGAACGTTGAGAAAACGCCATTTGCATTTTTAAATCATTTAAGTTCCTCGGCATCATCTTGAAGAAGTAAAAAATAATACTTCATGGAAACAAGTCTATTGAAGAAAGTTTCGTGAATTTGCAAGAAGAAGTCATTCTTGTACAACTTGTGATATTCATGACCGATCAATGATGCATACACCCCAACAGATACTCGAAACTGTCCGTGTTAAACGAAACTCTCCTCTTTTTAAGACAATTTAATCTCATTTAAGTGTTTCTATGATGTATTATCGTTAAAAGTCATGATTAAATATCCACAAACAGCAAAACGTGTGTCCGCTTTCCTTTCCTTTTCGTAAAGGTTTCCTCTGTTGAACAAGAGATTTCCTTCCCAATTTTCTCATATTTGAATTAAATAAGAAAAGGATTTCTTTGTCGAAATATTTTTCTGCAAATTTTCATTTTTCAAATATTCGACCATCAGGCAAACCATTCGGCAACCCTTAGAGGGAGAGCGGCATACGAAGAAACTTCATGAATATATAGGCGGAAATCGAGCTAAAATGAAGTTAATTTGAGGCAAATGATATTATTTAAATATTCTTTATTCTTGAAAATAAAAAAAAGAAAGAAATTATTCATGAATTTCAATGGATCTTGTGATCGTTTCTTGGGTTGAATGGCTGCTAAAGACCTGAACGGACTGGTGTTGATAAGGGCCCCAAGACATGAATTGGGGCTTAATAAAGAGTACTTTTTGTTTAAATTAACTTTATTTGATTATTATAATAAATATAATTAATATTTTAAGGACTTTATTTCTGCATTTCGTTGTTTCATGAGCCAGGGTCACTATTCCACATGGGGCGGGCGTTCCGCGCCCTGCGCGGTTTCCTGATTATGCGTGTACACCGCAGCCTTCTTCCTCTCTTTTTATAATATATAATTATACTTATTTAATTGAAGATGTCTACTTCAATAATTGAATGGTTAGAGAGTTTGGATCTCTCTCAACCAATAGTATGTATAGACACGGATTTTGCAGATGGCTACCTCTTTGCTGAGGTACTGCAGCGTCTATCCTTGCTGCCTAACTTACACGGTTATCAAAGAACAAGCAGCAGCAGCAAGAACGGTAGAGGAGCAGCAGCAGTTCTTGGTGGTGCCTTAACAGCAGAAGTACAAAATTATAATTTATTAAAGAAAGCTCTTGATCACATAGGTATTCGTCTTAGTGCATCAGCAGTACAAAACATCACAAATTCAAGATCGGGTGCAGCAGTAAATTTACTAAAACGAATAAAAAAAGTTGCAGAACAAAGAACGCCTCGTACAGCAGCAGCAGCACACGCAGCAGCAGCAGCTGCTGCGTGTGCTGCTAGGGGTAATGGACCCTCATCTAGCTACATGCTGCTATCAGGCGCTCTGCATCACCAGCAACAGCAGCAGCAGCAGCAACAACAGCAGCAGCAACAGCAGCAACGACAAGGCTTACCTTTATCAATACCTATAGATAAGAGGAGCCCTAACGGTCGATCCCCTCTACTAGATGACAGCTCTGATTCTGGTGCAACAGCAAGTGCAGCAACAGCAGCAACAACAGGTGCAGCAGCAGGTGCAGCAGCAACAGGCACAGCAGCAGGAGAGAAAGTTGTATATAAATCCAAGGTAAGAAGTGCAGTATTGGAGTGTATAGACAGCTTTGAGATGAATCTTCAACGTCAAGGATTAGGTAGTCCTTCTGCTGCTCTTGATGCTGCTGCTGCATCTGCATCTGCATCTGCTGCAGCAGCAGCATCAGCAGCAGCAGCATCTGGTGCATCTGCTTCTGGCGTTTCTGCAACAACACCAACAGCAACACCAACAGCAACACCAACAGCAACACCAACAGCATCAGGAGCAGCAGGAGGAGCAGGAGCAGCAGGAGCAGCAGGAGCAGCAGGAGCAGGAGGAGGAGCAGCAGGAGCACCATATAGTTGTAGAGAAATAGAAGAAGTATTACAACAGATGAAGAATAAGTTACCATCACAACAAAGCCAAGAAGAATTCAATATACAAATGATTAATCGTCTGCATGCAGCAAGACAAGCACAAGAGGCAGCATGTTATGAGAGATCAAGAAGAAGACAGTTACTACTTATGCAACAAACTAAAAAATGTAGAGAAGCATTAAATAATCGTGTTGCTGCTGCTGCTGCTGCTGCTGCTGCAGCTGCTGCTGCTGCTGCAGCTGCTGCAACAACAACAACAACAGCAACAACAGGATCTGGTTCAACTGCAGCATCTCGTACATCTTGTACTGCTGCTATACCTTCTTCTTTTTCTACTCCTCCTCCTCCTCCTCCTCCTCTTCTTCTTCCCTCAACAACAACAACAACATCAACAACAGGAACAACATCAACAACAGCAGCAGGAACAACAACAACAACAACAACAACAACAACAACAACAACAACAGCAGGAGCAGCAGCAGCAGCAGCAGCAATAGCAGTAGCAGCAGCAGCATCACGTGAAGGTAGTATTCGTGGTTCAATAAGTAGTAGTGAGGAATTGAGGAGATTAGTAGATAGGACAAGAAAGTATGAAGGAATAATTCGTTATAATATTGAATTAAAGAAAGAATTATTAAAAGAAAAAGAGAATAAATTAATAAATATGTATAAACGTCATGAACAATTACAGGTCCATACACGGGGTGTATTGACAGCTGCTGCTGTTGAGGAACAAGCACGTATATGTAATAATGTTAAGATAGTAAGAAAGAATCTAAAAAGATCTAGACTTATTAATGAATGTGAGCAGCTAGCTAGCCAGCTAGCTAATCTTGTATTAATTGCAGCTAGCTATAAGGAGAAACATAATACTAATTATATACCTAATCGTGTATGGAGGTCTTGGCTATTAGACTTTGTTGCTGCTGCAGATAACGAAGAATATTATCCTTTATTTACTAATAGTATATGCAGCAACAGCAGCAGCAGCAGCAGCAACAACAACAATACTTCCTGCTGTACTACTAATAATTATATTCATAATAATTGTAATTGTACTAGTAGTTGCTGCAGCAGTAACAGCAACAACAACTCCACCAACAACAACAGCAGCAGCAGCAGCAGCAGCAGCAGCAGCAGCAGTAGTAGTAGTGTTAAGAATAATCCTTTATCTGTATTTCTTCAGATACCTACTTCTCCTCCAGGTGTATCGACAGCTCTATTGCAGCAACATAGTAATCATTATATAAATATTCCTGTTGCTGGTACTGCATCTGCTGCTGCTGCATCTGCTGCTGCTGCTGTTCTTGGTGGTGGTGGTGGTGGTGCAGCTGCTGCTGCTGCTGCTGGTCGTCTTCCTGCTGCTCTATTAGAGGATATAAATGATTATTTTATTAGTCGTGGTAGTTGGTATGTAGATACAAATAAAGAAATATTTCCTGGTGCTCCTCTCTTACCTTCTCTTTCTTCTTTTATTCATACACTTATACAAAGAACAGATACAGATAATAGTACTAATAGTAATCCTGCTGCTGCTGCTGCTGCTGCTGCTGCTGCTGCTGCTGGTGGTGCAACAAGTCCTGCTGCTGCTGGTAGTGTTGCTATGGGACGCATGCAGCAGCAGATAACACCTAGAGATGGTGCAGATACAACAACAGCAACAGCAGCAACAACAGCAGCAGCAACAGCAACAGGAGGGGAATCATCAGCAGCAGGAGGATCAACAAGTCTTAATAGCGGACCTTCTTCTTGTTCTTCTTCTTCCTCTTCTGCTGCTGCTGTTGCAGCTGCAGCAGCAGCAGCAGCAGATACAGGGATATTAGAGGAGCCGCAGCTAGAGGAGTTGGGTATATTTGTTAGTCATTTGCTGCAGCATAGTCAACAAGAGGAATCTGCTGCACTTACAGTAGATCCTGCTGCACCTGCTGCTGCTGCTGCTGGTGCTGGTGGTGCTGCTTCTGCTGCTTCTGCTGCTGCTGCTGCTAGTGCACTACGTATAATAATAACAGGGAAGGCAGACAATGACCAGAAGATGTTGGCTATGCAATTAGCAGCACATTATAAATTACATCTCTTCTCTCTTGATGATATACTACAAGAAGCACTTAATGCCGCTGCTGCTGCTGCTGCTGCTGCTGCTGCTGCTGGAGGGGGAGGAACAGCAGCAGATAATCCTGCTGCTGCTGCTGCTGCTGCTGCTGTCCCTGATTCATCATCATCTACTGGGAATACACCTGCATCTGCTGCTGTCGGAAGAAGCAACTCTAAGAGCGATTCTGCTGCTGCTGCTGCTGCTGCTGCTGCAGGAGCAGCAACTCCAGCAGCAGCAACAGAAGGAACAACAACAGCAGCAACAGCAGCAGCAACAGGAGGAGGAGGAGGTAATGAATCAGTAAGTCTTGCTGCATTAGGACAAATAGCAGGAGGATATCTACAAGAAGGGAATCCCTTACCTGATGAATTATCTGTTGAATTAATAAACAAAAAAATAAATTTATTATTTTCTTCTTTTTCTTCTAATTCTTACGAAGAACAATTAAAAAAACTTTGTCCTTTATCCTTTATTAATGGAGATAATACAGCAGGAGGAGGAGGAGGAGGAGGAGGAGGAGGAGGAGGAGGAACAGCAGCAAATAATAACAGCAGCAACAGCGGGAACAGCAACAGTAATAATAACAGCAGCAGCAGCAGCAATAGTAACAACAGCAACAATAGCAGCAACAGGACAGGAAGCAGCAGTAACCGTAAGAATAATAATAAAGGAGGAAAAGGAGGACAAGGGGGAGGACAAGGAGGAGTAGATAAGAATACAAATAATAATAATAATAATAATAATGATTCAGGTGTATGTACACCTGAAGGGGATAAATGCGGATGGATATTGTTAGGGTTTCCTACAACTGCTAATCAGTATTATTTATTAGAGAAAAAATTAAGTGGTTATGATGAAGAAAACAACAAAAAGATTAATTTTATTGATTTAATTAAAGAAAAAAGTCATCTTGTTATACAAATGCCTAAAGAACAACCAGCTCTACAGGTCTATATATATATTATATACCCTAAACCCTAAACCCTAAACCCTAAACCCTAAACCCTAAACCCTAAACCCTAATATGTACATATCATATACTACATATAACTATCTGGGTGTTTACTCCAGTTGTTTGTTGTACTGCAAATCATCTCTATACAATAAATAGGGTTTATTAGGGTTTATTAGGGTTTATTAGGGTTTATGAGGGTTTATGAGGGTTTATTAGGGTTTAGGGTTTGTGTGTGTATACAGAGTTTACAAGAGGGTTGTGCGGAGGTTCATTTGTTGTTAGATTTACCTTATGAAGTTTTATTAGAGAGATGGGCAGCAGAAGAAGCAAATAAACAAGCAGCAGCAGCAGCAGCACCAGCAACAGGAGCTGCAGCAGCAGCAACAGCACCAGCAGCAGCAGGAGGAACAGCAGCAGCAGGAACAGCAGCAACAGCAGAAACAGATAAACAAACAAAGAAGGAAGTCAATGTCGGGGATAAACCCTAATTCCCTCATAAACCCTAAACCCTAAACTCTTAGGCAGATATAAACCCTAAACAGTCCCTTAAAAGAATAATAAACAGCAAATCCGTCAAAAACCCTAAACCCTAAACCCTAAACCCTAATCTTTGTTGCTGCGTATTTGGATATGATTTCTCCTTGAGGGTTTTGTCTAAATTGTTACGTCTGTCTGTCCTTCTGCCTTTTATATTTATTTTATTTTCTTTTATTCTTTTATTTATTATTAATAAATAAATAATATTTTTATTAATTATTATTCAATTAATTATATTATAATTAATAATATACTTATTTATTTATTTATTTATCTCTCTTTTCCTCCTAAGATATCATCATTAGATTTAGCTTTTGCCTTTGAGTCTCATCAAGAATTTGTTGAAGAATTCCTATCCGCATTCGGCACACATGTAAACCCTAAACCCTAAACCCTAAACCCTAAACCCTAAAACCCCTAAACCCTAAGGTATTGGCAGGGGTATTATTTGTTAACTTCTTTGTATCAGCCTGTCACTTAGAGCAGTCGTCTGTGTTGGGTCAATGGGGCCTCTCTACCTACGGGTTTAAAGGGTTTAGGGTTTAGGGTTTAGGGTTTAGGGTTTGGCAGACAGGAGGTTTTGGGGGGGTCTGTAAACCCTAATTTTTTTTTTGTGTTTTTCCTTATGCAGAATGAACCTCGTCTTCTTAAAATAAAAACTCCTGATGTATCTGCTGCCTTTGCTGCAGCAACAGAAAAAGTATTTATAAAACCCTAAACACGAGAGTTTAAGTGTGCATTTGTCCGAGGGTTTAGGGTTTAGGGTTAGCTAGGATATACGATTTAGGGTTTAGGGTTTAGGGTTTAGGGTTTAGGGTTTGCCTTCAGATCGATCGCATTTTGAATTTGAAGGTGGAGGACTTCAAGGCTAAGGAAAAACGTGCAGCAGCAGCAGCAGCCGCGGCGGCGGCGGCAGCAGCAGCAGCAGAGAGCGCAGGAGCAACAGGAACAGGAGCAGGAGCCGGTGAACAGGAAGCAGCGACGGCAGCAGGAGCAGGAGGTGCAGCAGCAGCAACAACACAACCAACAACAGCAGCAGCAGCAGCAGCAACAACAACAACAGCAGCAAAGGGGAGCGGAGCTGCTCCTGCTTCTGCTGCTGCTGCTGCGGCTGCTTCTTCGGATGGTAGGCAACAGAAAGTAGAAGTAGCAGCAACAACAGCAGCAACAGCAACAATAGCAGCAGCAGCAGCAGTTTGGTATTAAAGGCAGCATATAAGTGAATAAAAAGGAGAAAAAGAGTTAAACAGGAAAAAATAAATATCCTTTTTTTCTTCCTTTTTCCTATTTATTTGTTTATAATTAATTATTCTTTCTTTTGTTTTCCTTTTTATTGGAAAAAACAAGAAAAAGAAGAAAAAGAATCTTCTTCTCTTCTACAAACAAATGAAGAACACCTCAACATACACCCCAAGAATGACGAAGAGGGAGATAATAATAATAAAGAAACAGCACAGGCATTCTCCCTAGGTACGCCTAAACCCTAAACCCTAAACCCTAAACTCTAGGTGTTCGTAGCAGCTGCAGACCAGCAGTTTCTTTGTGTCTTCTCTTCTTTGCTGGCTCCTTTGTTTGCGCCAGTCTTGGACTTCTCAATTTGTGTTTAGGGTTTAGGGTTTAGGGTTTAGGGTTTGCTGTGAAGCTCAGGTCGCGTATGGAGTAGCCGTCTTGAGGGTTTAGATGAAGAAGCATATCAATATTTATTAAAACAATGGACAGCATTAACTGAAGGATATGTTTCCTCTCTTGCACAGGCAAGATAATTCCCAAGGGTTTAGGGTTTAGGGTTTAGGGTTTAGGGTTTAGGGTTTAGGGTGTCTATAGTGTAACCACCGCATTCAATTATGTCGTTTTCCTCCTATAAATATCATAAAAAGAAGATAAAAAGGCAATAAAAAATTAAAATAAACTAAAATAAACAAGAAAAAGAAGAAAGAATATATTTTTATTCATGAATTCCCCCTGAATCATGAAAATTACTCTGTATTCAAGTTTGCAGATTTCGTTAACTTGTTCTATGCATGCATGCATGCATGCAGCTATGTCTATGGCGAGAGAATTTTTCTTCTTCTTTTTCAATTAGTCAAGTAGAAATACAAAAACAAATGGCAAAAAAATTACAAAAAAAAGATTGGGACGAAAAAATAATTAAAAATTTTTCTTCTTTTTATTCACAAACTAAATCTCTTCTTGCTGCATCTATGGCACAAACAGATATTAAGGTAAGATATTATTATATAAATAAATATATAAATAAATAAATAAATAAAATATATATAAACTGGTAGTGTTATTGTTTATTATTTGTGTACAGGAGGAGCTACATTTACGTATAGATGAATTATGTGAATGTTTATGGTCAATAGAGGAGAAAGAAAGACAACAAGCAGCAGCATTTTATAAACAAATGCAACAAATGGGTTTATATGAGTTATATGGTGATGTATTAGCTGCACAAATCTCTCTATGTTTAGAGGCAGAAATTGCAAGGTATATAGATATATACATATATACACTATAATTATAATTGTATTAATAATTATAATTATGCTGCTGCAGCAATAACAGCAACAGGAGTAGCAGCAGCAACAGGAATAGCAGCAACAGTCGCAGCAGCAGAAGTAGCAACAGACGACGCTGAGTTAAGAGGCAGGAGAGTTAAAGTTTATAAAAATAACATTTAAAATAAAAATAAAATATAAATAAAATAAATAAAAAATAAAAAAGAGAATTAATTCAATAAAAAGGAAGAATAGAAGAAAAGAAGCAAATAACAGAGCAGCACCAGTGGTCACTTAGATAGAGAGAGCACCGAGAAGCGTTGCATGCTTGCATGCAAGAAGAAAGAGACCTTAAATAGGAGAGGAAAAGAGTAAAAGAATTGAAATAAATAAAATAAAAGAATAAAATAAAATAAAAAGGAGTAAATATTAATTATTAATGCATTATTTGTTTCTTTTTTTCTTTTTTGTTGCAGATATTTATCCTTGGAGGAATTTTCTGTAGACTGCCTATACACCCTAACTGGTTGCTGTTTACCAGATAGACATAATAAAAGTATTAATGAATTAAAACAATTTAATTGTTTATTAAAGGAAATTATTCATCAAGAAATAGGTAATTTACTTAATTCTCTTCTTAAAGGAGATGTTTCTATTCTTAAGAACAAGAAACACCCTCTAGAGGTATGCGCAGTACAAATAATATATTAGGGTTTAGGGTTTAGGGTTTAGGGTGTAGGGTTTAGGGTTTAGAGGATTAGGGTGTCTTGTTTTTATATAAATATTTAATACTTTCTTTGTTATTACTATTAGTAGTAGTACGGTAGTCTGTGGATACTGTATTGTTCGTCTCTGTTGCTGTTACTACTAATAATACTGCTGCTGCTGCTGTTGTTGCTGTTGCTGTTGCTGCTGTTGCTGCTGCTGCTGCTGCTGCTGCTGCAGGCTGTAGAGGCACAAGCAACAAAAGTATTAATACCTATTGAGTCATCTGATTTATCTTTATTTAAAAATGCTGAAGAAAAAAAGAAAACTAAACCTAAAGAAAATGCTGTACAAGGTACTGCAGCAGCAGCAGCAACAGCAGCAGCAGCAACAGCAGCAGCAGCAACAACAATAGAAGCAGCAGCTGCTGCAACAATAATAGAGGCAGAAGAAGCAATGTATAGGGGAGCAGATAGGAAAAAATAAAGAAAAACTAAGGACAAAGAAAATAAATATAAATAAAATAAATAAATAAATAAAATAAATAAATAAATAAATAAATAAATAAATAAATATTTGTGTGTGTGTATATATATATGAAGGGAATGGGGGGAAGCAGCGGGAGAGCAGTCGTCCAACAGCAGTAACAGCAGCAGCAGCAACAGCAGCAGCAGCAGCAGCAGCAGCAGCAGCAGCAGCAGGAATACCAATAGATATAGAGGAGAATCAATGCATGCATAAATTATTAAAGGAATTACAGCAGCAGCTGCTGCTACGTATCCGTCGTTGCTGTATATGGGGTAGCAGCTTGCTGCTGCAGCTAGCAGCAGCAGCAGCAAATATTAAGAATAAAATAGATAACTGGATTGTTGCTACTAGTCTAACTAGACAAACATTAATTAATTATTTCTCTATTTATACAAAATATTATTTAGAGGAAATAAATAATAATTATTCTTATTTATTTAATACATTTAATACACAATCTTTTATACAACATACACTTAATATACAAATACAAGGTAAGAATATATTCTTATATATATATACTCTAAAACCCTAAACCCTAAACCCTAAACCCTAAACCCTAAACCCTAAACCCTAAACCCTAAACCCTAAACCCTTAAAATTTTGGCGAAAAAAAAAAATCGATTATTCATGTATTCAACCTCTTAATACTGTAAACCCTGATAAACCCTAATAAACCCTAATAAACCCTCATAAACCCTAAACCCTAATTATATTATTTATTATTTCTTTAGGTCTACAACTAATAATAGGAGATAAAGAAGATAAGCAACAAACAGAAGCAGCAGCAACAGCAGCAGGAGCAGCAGATGATGAAGAAGATGATGATGCTGCTGCTGCTGCAGCAACTGCAGCAGCAGCAGCTGCTGCTGCTGCTGCTGCTCGTAGTACAGAAAGATGGCTACAATTTGTTCAATTAATTATTCGTCATGTCTCCATGGCTACCACAGAAGGGCATCTTATTCCTACTCTATTACTTGAGGTACAATAAACCCTAAACCCTAAACCCTAAACCCTAAACCCTAAACCCTAATTATATATACACTTAACCAAGTGTTTATATACAAACCCTAATCTCTGCAACAACAACTTATTATCTTCCTTGAATACTCATTGCCAACGTCTCTTCCCCCTAAACCCTAAGCCCTAATAAACCCTCATAAGCCCTAATAAACCCTAATAAACGCCAATAAACCCTCGTAAACCCTCCTAACCCTTCGTAAACCCTTGTAAACCCTAATAAAGGGTTTATGGTGTGTATATTATGTGTATACAGGAAGTATTACGGGGTTGTTTTTCTGCTGCTCCTGCCTTTGGATTTATAGGGAGAAAAACCCTAAGAGAAATATTATTTTATTTAAATAAAATAAAAATAAATGATTGTCTTGTTGATTCAATTGAACTTTTATTCTCTTTTTGTCTTGGATCTGTACATACACCTAATTATACACAACTTAAACATGTATGCATATACCCATAAACCCTAAACCCTAAACCCTAAACCCTAAAAAATAAGTACTAGGAGGGGCAAAAGGAAATAATAAGCAACAGGAGTTATACATAATTGTAAACCCTCGTAAATAATAGTATATACACAACAGATAAACCCTCTATAATATACCCTCGTAAACCCTAGACAAACCCTAAACCCTAAACCCTAAACCCTAAACCCTCGTGTGTGTATATATATATTTGTGTGCTATAGATGAAGGAGGTTGCGTTATCCTTTCAAAACCCTAACACTAATAGGAGGGTTTGTCTATTAAATAAGAAGATAACCCTGCAGCAGCTGCAGTGTCTGTGCTTCGGTAGTTGGCTACCTCTGCTTCCTCCTTCGCCCTTCTCTCTTCATCAGCAGCAGCAGCAGCAGCAGCAACAGCAGCAGCAACGCATGCTGCTGCTGCCTCAGCTACTCTTTGATATATTACTCACCTTTGATGGTGCTGTACCCTCAGCACAGCAGCAGCTACAAACCCTACAAACATTTAATCCTCAAGCTGCAGCAGCAACTGCAGCAGCAGCAGCAGCTGCTGCTGCTGCTGCTACGTCAGAAACAGCAGCAACTGCAGCAGAAGGGAAAGAAGAAAATTCTCTTGCGTTAGGTGGCGTTAGACCAAAGCCTAGAGAAGATCCAGCAGCTGTAAACCCTAAACCCTAAACCCTAAACCCTAAACCCTAAACCCTAAACAGACAAAACCCTCATTAATAATAAGAAAGTATTAAATTTAAAAACATTTAAATAAATAAAGAATTCAACACCAAATATGACAATACTTTTCTAGGGTTTAGGGTTTAGGGTTTAGGGTTTAGGGTTTAGGGTTTAGGGCTTGTTGTATTTCAGCCACGTGTATCATTGAGGAAGTTTATGAGTTACATTTGTCTATCTGAAGATCCAAAACTTTCCTTAAAACGTTTACTTGTATTTATTAGCGAGCCGCGCAGCAGCAGCAGCAGCAGCAACAGCAGCAGCAGCAGCAACAGCAGCAGCAGCAGCAGCAACAGCAGCAATGAGATGAGCGGGGATAGCAGCAACATTGACAGCAATGATGAACCCAACAGCAGCAGCAGCAGCAGCAGCAGCAGCAGCAACGAAGATAACAACAACAACAGCAGCAGCAGCAACGATGACGCTTGCAGCAGCAGCAACGACGACAACAACAACAACAGCAGCAACGACGACAACGACAGCAGCAGCAGCAGCAGCAGCAACGACAACTGCAGCAACAGCAGCAGCAGCAGCAGCAGCAGCAGCACAGAGGAGGAAGAAGGTGTAGATTTATGTGCAGATGCTGCTGCTGTTTATTTAGTTTGCTGCGGGTTTGGATTTAGAGGTCCAGTAAGAGCAGCAGATGCTGCTGCTGCTGCTGCTGCTGCGCTGCTGTCCTATCCTGAGTTTATTGCTGCTGCAGCAGAAGAAGATCTGCTGCTGCCACCAGAGCAGCAGCAACAGCAGCAACAGCAGCAACAAGAAGACCAACCAGCCCAACCACAACAACAACAACAGCAGCAGCAACAACAACAACAGCAAC